GATCCAAGTTGTTTGGGACTGTAATGGGGATGAGCAAACTATTTGGGAAGTAGAGTCCAAGATGAGTACAAGGTTCCCGAAATGGTTTGAGAAACTTCAGGAAGAAGAACCGGATTCGTGGGTGAATCCAAACCAAGTGGGGGAGAGCTGTAGCATCCGTATCCGAGAAAATCTGGAATGATCAAGCCGGACAGGAGGTTGTCCGAAGGAATGTGAGTTCAGTCATGGGAAAATTCGTATGGATGGGAGGTTCAGACTATAGTCGATGGATGACTGGGAAATAGTCGAATGATGGTCGGGCTGGCCGAGCAGGACGGACCATATTCGAGAGAAAAATGGTTCTGTCCGGGAGAAAGTGGATTATGTCCGAGAGAAATGGATTATGTCCGAGAGGAAATGGATTATGTCCGAGAGGAAATGGATTATATCCGAGGGAAAAGGAAAATAGCCGAGGCTTTTTGGTTTTAGCCTAGTAAAAATAGGCTGGGTCCGTGGGCTGGGAGTTTGGTCGGATGAAAACTAATTTCTCGTGGGGATGGTCGAGCGGTTTAGGCGATATCTGAGAGAAATCAAAGCTGACCGAGATAAACCTGACTGGAACCGGGAGACGCCGGCTATAACCAGGTTAACTAGGTTTTGCGAGCATATAAAAGGGATTTTGAGACCTTTTCTCGAGACAGCCGCATTATTTGAGAGAAATAATGCGTGAGAGAGAGATTGGTCGAGAGAAATCTCATAGTTTCTGATTATCCTGAGAGTTGGCCGAGAGAGATCGAAGTTTCGCCGGCAAATCCGACTATCACCGAGAGATCGAGCGTTCTGTCCGAGTTTCTGTGGATCTGTTTTGACAATTCGTCCTGATTTGAGGGTTTTCCGAGGGAATAACCGAGTTTATCCGAGGATTTCTGAGCGGATCGTGTGATATCCGAGAACACTTCGATTCGTCCGAGAGAATCTTGTAAGTGTTCGGCTATTCTGTTTTCTGTTGAGTTTCTGTCGAGTAACTTTAGGCTGATCGATCTGAATTATACTGTTTCCAAGGGAATACAGCTTCTTGCCCGAGAAAAAGTGACCGGGTTGAGAGATAGCCGAGAGGTGTTGGGATTTTACCGGACCAGTCTGAACGATAGCCGAGAAATTGCAAGTGTGTCCGAGTATCTCAGTTTCTGATAGAGAAATCACCGAGATTCTTTCGACTGAAACGTTTGTTTCTGTGTCCAAGGTGAGTAAGTGACTGTAGTCTGTATCTAGAATCGTTGGATTGCTAGGTTATCTGATTTTCATTGATTGCTTGTGTAAGTTAGTGGTTTCTGCTTAACAAGGTCAATGTTTATGTGATTGTGAATGGTTAAGTGTGAACCGTGGTCAATACATGATGTCTAACTAGCTGTGTGAATGTCCGGATCGAGTTACTAGCTCAAGGGGATGTGTGATTCTCGCTTGGAGCAGTACGGATGCCTTGTGAGGCTTTAAAAGTAGTTGAGATCATCATAGAACCGTACTGTTTTCTGTGCTTGCTTGCTAAGTGATAATGTGAATTGTATAACTGATAGTATGATGCGTTTTCTGGTACTGGCTAAGGTGTTACGGGATGACAGTATTCACTAAGTATTTATGAAATACTTATGCCTCTCTTTTTGAGTGTGCAGGTAAGGATAAAGTCCAGGGCGAGTAGCTCTGAAGGCGGACTGGAAGGCAGTGAAGGACAGGGGTGGATTAGGACTGGGTTTTGGAATTCATGTCCTGAGTTTGAGTTTCTATTTAAGTACTTGTGTTAGTGCTTTATGAGTTGAACCGAATCTGATAAGTTAGTTTGTTATTGAATCCGAATTCTGTTAAGTGTTTCTGGAATAATTATGCAATGAGAATGGATGTCTTTTGATGAATCGAACTTGTTTAAGTTTAAGAAATTTTTTTTAAATATGCATGTTTTTGTATTCTGGCCGAGAGAAGATTCAGTGAGGTTCGGGCTGGTCTAGTGATAGACGGTCGGGTCCTCACACAACTTCTCCTTTTAAGGGCTCATCTTTGGAGCTTGGTTTCTGGTCCGTTGCAAGGCTTATTGCTGGTGTCTCTTCTCCCTTGGACGTGGGCTCCTTTAAACCTATTCCAGCTTTCTTTGAAAAAGACAAGCACATCATACCAGTGGTAAATACTAATTCACTTAAAGAAGGACTTAGCTGAGCTTTTGCTTGAACAATGGTTTGTTCTGGTTTTTCTGTTGACTTGCACAATGCTCTTTGGCTGAGAACAGTCTTCTTCTCCATGGCTTGATACTTCTCTACAAATTTTTTATGCATCCTTGGCTTGAGGTCACTCCAATCTAGAACTGGCTTCTTGTGGACAGTTGGAATGTTTTCCTTTAACCACCATTCATAAGTTTGTTTTGTAAGTCCGACAGCTTGTTGTAACTTCTTTTCCTTGGGAATGTTGTTGGATTGTAGCCATTTCTCCATAGCACTTTCCCAACTGAGATACACATCAGGGTTCTTACTTGTACCTGAAAATATTAGAGTATTAAATTTGTAACCACTCCTTTTGTTGACTTGCTTCTTTGAACAATCTGGTGGTTTAGGTTCAACATATTCAGCTCCTACTGCATCTCCAAATTCATTTTCTTTTCTATGTGGTTGGATATGTGCCACTCTTTCTACTAAGGTTTGGATTTGTGTTTGAGTTTTGACAAAAATTTCTGCCAGGTTAACACCTTCTCCTCCCATCTTTGTTATTCCTGATTCAAGAAAACAATAAAACTTTTTTTTTATGGGTTTTTCTGATGATTTAAAGTATTCAAAACAAAATGAATGCATCAATATATTAAACACAATCTAAATATTTTTTTATGGATTTGTTTTTCCAACAAATGCAATATGATCAATAAACTGAAACTAAGAATGATTTCAAATGAACAATATATAATATTATTTTTTTAATGCCGAAATCAAATAACAAATAGCAATATATATATATATATATATATATTTTTTTTTTTCAGATTTTATAAATGCAAATTAAAACAAGAACAAACTGCAAATAATTTTTTTTTTTTGAAGAAATCAAATAACAAATAGCAATTATTTGTTTTTTTTGTTTTTGAATTTTCAAAATTTAAATGATGCAAATAAAACAAGAACAATATTTTTTTTTGACTTTTAGATGAAATAAAATATTCAGAAAATTAAGCAAACAACTTTTTATGGATTTTAGATTTTATAAAATTCAATAAACAAAACAATAAATAACAAATCAAAGCAAAACAATTTTTTTTAATTAATGAAAGGAAACAAAAATAATAAACAGAAAATAAGGATAAAGGTTGGATGGATACAACCTGGGGGATATGAGCTTTTGAAGCTCTGATACCAGATGATACGATCCTCAAAGGCTGAGGCTCGTTTGTGGAATGATGGAGGCTGAAAGTTGGACTATAGTCACTCTCTTTCAGCCAGTCGGATGGAATATGGTTGAAGCGGAAAGATGGTGAATTGACTGACTCGCTCAGTCGGTGGGATGGCTGACTCACTCAGCCGTTGGAACTAGCCTTGTCTGAATCACACAAACAAATCTATTCCAAGAATCAGTAGAAACAAAGGAATCTCTCAATTGAATCTAAAGACAAGTTGTTTAAACAAAAAACACTCTTTGAATAAAAAGAACAAAAGTTTTATATTTTCTTAGATAAAAGTGGATGTCTACAAATGAAACAACTATGAGCTTATATAGGCTCAGTACACGTCCTAGACATTAACTAACTCTTAAGAGAGAATTATGCAAAAATCAAAGAAATATCAAAAAAAAAAGAGACTAAAGGGATTTTGACCCATTTAATGGGTGATGAGCAAAAAGGCTGAATGAAGGGGATTTCTTGACTTGTATCTTGATATCTTGATGATAAATAATCTCTCCAAGTCTTGCTTATCTCGGTTCATGAAGGGAAGTAGCCGTTGGTAAGTTATGGAACCAAGTGTAAATGCGTCCATATATGGTAAGTAGAAGTGTGACATGATCCGCCTGATCATGTGGGTGCTGGTGCATTGGAAGATGTTTCCTGACTCTCCTGGATTGTAAGATGTGTCTCCTGAATGCTTAGATGTCTCTCCTGGTCGCCAAAGCCTTCTTTGTAAGTGATTAAACTCGCCAGCTCTCAAATAAGGCAAGCAGAGCGTCCTCCGCTTTAGAAGTTGAATAACTTTTAAACCGTAATTCATTTTGGTATAAATCCAATTCGCCTCGATTCCTTGATGAGTTAAGTTTCCAAAACATCCGGTCTTGTGGCTTTATTCGTCGTCGTTTGGCCGAAATAATTTTATTAGTGGTCGCATGTCTCCATCGGATCTATTGAAGATCTGCCAATTTGTATCTTCAATATCTTCTTCATGTGAACTCCTTTTTAGCTGATTCTTCTTCGTGGTGAACTCTGGATGAGTTGAGTATGCTCTCCAAGTGTTGTTTGAGTTTGAATGTTTGATATCAACCTCCATTTGAGCTGAACTCCACTCGCATGTCTTCTTAGCTCTCCTCAGCTTCATGTTCTCCACTTCATGACTCCTGGATCCGTGTTTTTTGGCTGATGATGACTTGAGGTGCGTATCAGGTTAGGGTCAAAGAGTAGCAGTGACATGTATGATGCGAACTTGAATAGGTACAGTCTAAACGGTTTTATGGGAAGCCGAGTCAACAGTCTATCTATGGAGAACGTAGGTGTTGGTGTCGCCGTGGAAAAACAACCAGCAACCTCTGAGGGTTGGACTTCACCACTTGAAGGAAAATATATCTTTAGCTTCTCTGTAAGAGCAGAGGAGTTACATATGGAAATGGACGTAATAAAACAAGAAAAAGAAAGAAAAGACCAAGAAAAAATGGTTTCATGACTTATGTGTGGTTGCTTCTACCTTTGGTTATCATTCGTGAATATGTTTTTCTCTTTTATGTTAAGAGCATCGAAATCAATCTTTTGAACAATCAAGTCTCTACCAATACAGAACAAATTTCAAAACTTGTTACATCTCATTGACAATCTCCAGGCGAGACTCGGATGATGAGGTAGTAGCAGTTGCAGAAGCAGGTTCTTTGTACCATTCATTAGGCTCCCGAGTCATAAAGTTTGACTCTGTAACGAGTACGTCGAATTAGTACAAAATCCAGAAGAGGAGACTTGGAAATAGCAAAAGAAGAGCATACCAGACAAGAACACATTCTTGTATTCTTCATCGTCGTAGATAAACTGCGGAGGATCTGGTGAACCGATACCAACAATGGTGCTTCCACTGATATGCATTCATTCCATAAAAATTAACACAAATACAAACCAAAATATGTACTAGCTTGTTAAGAAGCATTTGGGAAGACAAATACAATAGTAGCCTACTGTTTACTCAAACTACTAGATGAGTTCTTATGCATTGCTCATAATTTTATGAAAGTGATTGTTGTAGCAAAGGCATACCTCCCGGACATAAAGACGGCATCATATTGGCCGCGCCCAGATGCTATTATACGCTGCTTCAATCGTTTAAGAGATGGAAGAACATTAAATGCTGGCAGTTCTGGAAATGTCAAAAAGAAGACGAAAATGTAAGTACCATACTGAATCTTGCAATTTAAAAGATGTTACTATGTTCTTGGGAACGGAAGAGAGACATGGCAGATTCATATACGTTCTTACCCAAATCGTTTACGCAAATGCTTTGAGATACACCGTTACTGGTGACCTTCTCCAGTAATGTCAAGGGATCAATGTTGTTCGTCTGATCTAAACGAAGACGCTGAAAAAAATAAAAAAACTTTGCCATGAAATCCTGACGATCTTCAAGAAGTCAAAATAACCATCATCAATCAGTTTCAGTTGATTACTTTGTACACTTCAGCAGTGGAACATGCTTCTCGTGGCTTTATAAGCACCATAGGAAGATCAATAGGAAAAGGAGGAGCAAGGTCTTGGACAATCTGCATTAGCCATTAGATTATAACTCAGCAAACTAAGCTGCATCATGTTATCCACACCAATTTCCCCAAATTGACAAATGCAAGAGAACTGAATCAGAACAAGCTTTTGCAAGCAAAATGTCTAAGCAAAACATACCTCACCTCTCCCGGTACAATAAGCAGCTCCATGTGAGAAGAAGAAAGGAATATCTGACCCAATTTCACTTGACCATTCCTGGAGTTCCTTCTCACTGACAATACCTCCGTTGAGCTGATTCGCCGCCCAGAGTGCAGTCGCAGCATTACTGCTTCCACCACCGAGTCCAGCACCGGTAGGCACCTTCTTGTCTAGATGAATCTGTCCATATATCAAGAGAGACTATAAGTTTTGGTGAAGAACATGAAATATGTTATATATACAAGAAACCATTGTTGTTTTAATGTTTTTTTTACCCAGAAGAACTTGGTACTACCAGTTTTCTTCCTGTAAAGGCTAAGTGCTTTTATAATCTGCAAAATAGGAAGTTGCAACAATGAAAATCATCTCAGAACAATGCTTCCCAATCCAGAGAGATCATCTATTAGAACAATGAAGATCATCTCACAAGATTCCTGGCGTCTACAGGGACTCCAGAGACGTTGGTTGAGAGACGATCTTTCGATTTCGATGGTGACAATGAGAATTTGATTGTGTCTCCTAAGCTAATCACCTAATCAAATGCAGGAAAGAGACATCAAGAGACAGTGAGATAAAAGGGAAAAGCTTAAAGCTTGCGAGGAAGGAACTTACATGAAACAAAGAGGCTAAATCATGAAACCCATCTTCCCTTTTGCCAGTTATCCTCAAGAAAACATTGATCTGAACAGTATAAAAGACAATGACATTTGATTTCTCAAGTAAAAAGAAGAGTTCATGGATTCAAGAAAAGTAAACCGTCTTTAAACCTTGCAAGGTGAGAAGAGCTTAAGTCTTGACAAGGGAGCTTCTTTGTCAACGTCATCGCCTATCTTATTAAGCCTCTCGTCAGGATCAAACACTATCTAAACATCACACAAGTCCACAAACACCTCAAAAATGTTACATTATCACTTTCAAAGTTTGCAATTGTGAAAACAAAAATGATGAATGTGCAGAATCTCGAAACTTGGAATTCTCAAGAACCCAGATACGCAGCATCAAATTCGATTCCATATCAAAATTTGAACGAGCAGGAGAAAGGGAAAAATGGATTCCAAGTTATTCAATTTTGAGCGAGAAATTGAAGTAGAACTCGTTACATTAGAATAGGAGATGAACAACAATCACTGAATGCTCTAAATTCCGATCAAAACTGAAAAAAACCTAGAGACAAAGGAAGAGAAATGAAATTCGGATATCGTTACCTCTACTTGCTTTCTGGAAGCTTTCACGGAAAGACTCAAAAGGGGCCGAAGAAGGTTCGGAGTAAAAAAAGAAGAAGAAGAAGAAGCGAGACTGGTTTTGAAAGAAGTGCAAGTGAAGTTGAGAGATGAGATAAATGGAGGAGAAGCCGTTGCCATGGTTCGTCTCCGTACCTGATATTTCTCTTTGATCGGATGTGAGCTTCTTTTTTGTTTTAGTTTTTTAATGTTTTTATAATTAGCTAACTGAACCAATACAATTGTTTTTGAGAAATATTGGCATAAATTTCATTTTTTAAAAAAACCTAATTCGATAAAACGAAGATGAATGTCATATACTGTATAGTGTATATGCTGTATTTGGATAAAGAATTTTAAGAGAATTAAGGGTTACAGAATAAACTGACAATATAAGTAAGTACGAACTAAAATAAGGACTTAATATTAATTAGGTGAATTAAACAGTTACAAGGAATCCTTCTGAAAGATATAAAAAGAAAAGTGCTCGAAAAGTGGTTTGAGAGTTTTACTATATCAAAAAATATAGAAGAAGGTCTAAAAAAAAGTAAACTAAGCAGCTTTTTTCCCTTATACAGCTCTCTTCGTCGAGCTTCAACCTCCACTGCATATCTCGGCCACGTGCAGCAACCTCTATGAAAATCTCAGGTTCGTTTGAACTGGTGGGAATATGCTCGACTTGGTCTGGATCCATTCTTGTTTCTCGAGATTTTAGAACGGAACGCTGATGTTCAGGTTTTGATCAACGCAAAGGATTGGGCCTGAGCTGCATGAACGAGGCCCAACCAATCTATATTTAGTTTGAGTTTGCTTGTTGGGCTTAAGTGGGCCAGATTTATTGTGCGAAATTCATGCTCCAACAATTGCCCCCCAGCCCATTAACTAGAACGAGTTCGAGTTTTAATGGGTGGCAAGATGTGACTTTTGAAAGATTTCGCATTTAATATGCTGATGTCGTGATGTCGGATAATCATTCAAGATCAACGGTTCGAACCTGAAAAGATGAAAGGTCTGATTGATCGTTCGCTCGAGGGTTGACCTAGAAGTCGCAGTTCGAACAATGAGATAAGTTTGTTATTATCTCGTCCATATGGAGGTTGAGATTCAGAGTAAATATTGTAATTTACTTTTATTTCGGCGATCGAGCTTCCCGGGGTAAGTACAGTTCTCGAGAAGATTTGCATAGATGCCTTTTTGATGTGGAGGGTCCAAATCGAGAGAGAGAAAATCGATATGACAGCCCTGATTAATCGAGCTCTACAGCACGTCAAATCCGCGGATCCGAATATTTTACGGTTGAGAACTTGAGATCGGACGGTGGAGATCGATGCGGAGTAAAAATTTTTACGATCCTCGAGGTGGAAAATTATTACTGAGATATGAAATCCACCTCCCCCACTATCTCTTTAACCGCACCCTGTTCGACGATTACATGTAGTTTTCATTCTCCTTCTCTTCTATTTTCTGCAACTTCTGCTCGTCGCGATTTTTGAGAAATGAAGGTTTTTGGTGATCAAAAATCCTCTTGAATTTTGATCAATTGTTTGCTTTGTTTTCTGTTTGCTTAGAACAAAAGATTTGGTTTCTCTCTTGATTATTCTGGGTTTTTTTTCTTTCAAACTTTGTCTCCTTCTCCCTTCTTTATCTTTCTGATGTCGTTGGTTGCTAAAGCTGAAGGAGAAGTGTCCGGGAGGAACATCGCAGTTCCGGGCCCGTCAAAATTGAATGACCAGAAGGCTCTCGACGACTTTCGTCGAGAGTGCGAGATTCCTGATTGGGTGGATATAGCGGATTTGACGCGGCAGAAACTCTGGCTAACGTCGAGCCGGGGTTCTGCTACACATATACAATGTATTTTCGAGACTGCGGGTTGTTCTTTCCCATCCCGCAGTTTGTTTTGAAGATGCACGCTGACCTGCGGATGGCTTTCCTGCAGATGTGCCCGAACTTGGTATGGGCTCATCGGATGTGCCATGTGGGCCCGGGAAGAGGCCGTCGGTTTTCGCTTCTCAGAGTTGAGGGAGTTCTTTTCTGTTAAGTACAACACTCGCCGCCCTGGCACTTTTTACGCGTCTCCTCGATCGAACCGGCGGTTCATCGAGGAAAGCTAGGAGAAGAACTCCGGATGGGAGAGGACGGGATTTAAGTTCCGGATTAACGAAGCATTGATATCTGTTGTATTTACATCATTTAGGCTTGCCTTTAGTGCATGTTTTGGTTCTCTTTTGCATGTTTTCCTTATCCTTTGTCCCATTTTTTTCTCCTTTTAGACTTAGGTTGCATTTAGGATATAGTTTGCATTTTCTTTGCATTTTGGATGATTTTAGGTGCTCTTAGAGCTAAAAGGAGCTTGGAGGAGCTTTGGGGATGATTCAGGATGCTAGCTGGATCAAAGGGAGCAAGAAGGATCAAAGCAGACAATCTCTGCAAAGGTTTTCGGCCAGAGCACGGTGAACATCGGTCAAGGGGTGACCGATACCAGATTTTCGGTCACCAGCATCGATCAGAATTGATCGACATAAACCCAACGGATGAATTTTGGTCACCAACATCGATCAAAAGTGATCAACATAAACCCATCGGATGAATTTCGGTCACCAGCATCGATCACCTTCCTGACCGATAAGATTCATATCGACTGAAGATCAGCTCAGATGAGGTGTTTGCATCCCGATTTGGCTTCGGCCTCCTTCATCAACGTTGTATCCACTTGAGTTAGATTTCGTTTCGTATTAGTTTCAAGTCATTCCCATCAGTGGTTGAAAAGTTACGGCGAATAAAGTGAGCACATGTCCATCTGGAGTTTTTGCCGTTGATCTTGACAGACTTGAAGATCAGCTCGGAGGAGTAGCCTCCGTCTCTATTCAGCATCTTCACTCTTCACGAAAGTTGTATCTACGTGAGTTAGATTTCAGGAGGACTTGGTTTCAGGTAATTCTGATATGCCGTTCAACAGATATCGCAATATTCGTGAAACCGCTCAACCTGCATCGATCACTGCCCAGACCGATGGGATTTACATCGGTCAACCTGACTGTTGTTGCTGACCGATGAAAACCTCGACCGAAGACCATTTATTTACAATTTTGCCATTTTCGCTTAGATTCCTATAAATACTTGAAATGCCTAATTTCTGGGAACACATCTCTTTGTCCAGCAGTCTCTTCTTCTTTGTTTTAGGTTTTTGATTTTGTAATTTGAATCTTTGTTTATTTCAATAATAGTTTGCATTTCTCTTAATCTTTTGTCTTCCTAATTATGATTAAATATCTTTTTTTTATAGATTTGATGGTTTTCACCATGCTTAGTGAGTAGTTTGCTTTAGGTTTGAGATTAGGGCAGATGGGGTGATTTTAGTGATTGTTTAGGTTGATTAGGGCTTAGATCTTCTCATTCTCTTTCTTATATGGTTGTGCTTAATGCTTAGTACCTCTTTGTTGGAGAAGTTGATTTTAGGTTTTCACATGCACACCAAGTGTTTGATGAAATTCCTGAATGAAGTTCAATGCTTGAAAATGGTGTTTTGATAATCATGAGTCTTTGCATCTATCATTTCTTGCGTGAATGTGCTTATTGCCTAGTACCATATTGATGAGAAATTTCCTTTAGACATTGATTTTGCATGAGAATGTGAGTTGGTGTTTGATATATCATATAAGAGATTAGTAAACCTAGCCTAAGAGATTAGATGTCTAGCATGCTAATTGGTTTATGGAAATTAATTTTAATGCTTGATGATTATGTGTTTGAGTAAAGAGATTTATCTTGAATATGTGATCAGCAAAAGGATTGGTGCCAAGAGATTGGATTAGTCTTTATTAGTGTTCCTTACCTAAGGTTGAGTGTTTAGAATTGCTTGTTTTGATCACCCTAGACATGAACATGAATCACCCTATCACCATTGCCTTGATCTTGAACCATCTTTTAATCTTTGAAGTCTTGCTTTTACTTTGTTTAGTTTAGCTTTTGCTCTGTTTCTCTTTGACATTACTGCTCTTTAATTGCTTTCTTTTGCTTCTTTGCTTGATCACTTAGGTTGTTAGACATTCTAATACCCCTTTTATATCTGCTTGAATTAGGAAATCTACTATAATCCTGCTGTTTCAATCTTCCCCTTTGGATTGACATTAAAACCCAATGCTACAATGACTAGTACAATGGGTGATTGACCAAGAGAGTCAAAACTCTTGTATCAATTTGGCGTCGTTGCCATTAGGGGAATGCTTTGTTCAGTAGGATTTGTAGAGATCTTGAGATCATGCTTTGTTATTTTCGATTTTGGTTACTGATTTCTCTTTTGGTCTAGAATTTCTTTTGTAGGTACCACAACACTTGCTCTTAAGTGTCTACAACTACAACTGAAGTTAAAGGTCAAAGATTTTGGTTTTGCATAATCAGAATTTAGCTGTTGAAGCATGAAAGAACATCAGTATGCTGCTGGTTTTGGTTTGCAAGGTGCACAAGGTCCACGAGGTCCTCAAGGAATTCAAGGCTTACAAGGACAGCAAGGTCCACATGGTTTACAAGAAGCTTTGTTTCAAAGACAATTGAGACATATTAGTGCTGCTGATATACCTTCAGGTTATGCTTCAAGACAAGGTATTCTTCCACCCATGGAGACTCATCATTATGAGATCAAAAGCAGCATGATCAATATGATTCAAGAGCAGAAGTTCTTTGGATTGCCCAACCAAGATCCTCTTGAACATTTGGATCACTTTGAGAGGATTTGTGCTTTGACAAAGCTTAGTGGAGTTTCTGATGATGGTTTGAAGCTCAGATTGTTCCCATTCTCTCTTGGTGGTAGAGCTCAAATGTGGGAAAAGTCTTTAGCACAAGGCAGCATCAACACTTGGGAACAATGCAAAGGTGCTTTCTTAACCAAGTTCTTCTCTCCTTCGAGAACTGCAAAATTCAGGAATGAGATCACAAACTTCAAACAGTGGTCTAATGAGAGCTTTGGAGACATTTGGGAAAGGTTTAGAGGCTTCACTCATCAATGCCCTCACCATGGCTTCACCAGAGAAATGCTACTCTCCACACTATACAGAGGTGTTCTCCCAACAATAAGAATCCTTCTAGATACTGTAAGCAATGGTTACTTTCTTGGTAAAAATGTTGATGAAGGATGGCTTCTAGTA